ATTTCTGCTACGAAGCACTTGTTGATGAAAAGGAAGAAGTCTGAGGGAATCCCTGATAATTCCTGATAATTCATTTGCTCATCTGAAGTGTGCTTGTCCAATGAGACTTTATAAACTAACCTGGTCAACCTGAAATATCATCAATATCCTTCTCAACCAATTTCGCCCAGTACTCCTTAGTCGGGACGCTTTTTAGAAGATGATACGTTTCTTGCTATTTATTAATTACTAGTCTACCTCTTATTTTACTTCTTATATACTTATGATTTATACAAAGGGGGGGTTTAAATTATGAATGCAATAAATTTATCCTTTATATTTCATCTTATTTTTGGATCAAGTTCAATTTATTATTTGTCTTTGTTTTTTAATTGTATCTTGTACTAAGCTGAGCGTAAACGTTGATCAGCTTTCCTAAGTTTAGCACATATCGTACTACCATTTATTATTTTCTAAGGAGTGATATATGGGTTATTGATAATTGATTTCTTTATTGCTTGGGACACGGTATTATTTTTAATCTATTTTGATATTTTTATGGTTCCATTACCATTAAAGTCATCTATAAAATCTAGGGATTTTCCTCATTTTTTGGCGGACTTGTGCCCTTAATTTAATGTGGTCATTTATCAATACGAAAAGGGTGAACAGAGATGTTTACTTCCGGTAAGAGATGTGATATTTAGTTCCATTATAATATTATGCAAATGATGTCTTGCAGGTTTAATAATATTTATGTTTCGATGAGTTGTTGGTGCATTCCACATTTTGATTGCAGAGGTGACTAGTAATCCATTATTTTCATTAATTCATTTATTATTTTTATGAGGGTTTTGTTGCCGTTGTATGTTACCATTTTCTATCGACCATTAGTTAGGCATGGATTTGAATTTCTTTCATTTTTCTTTACTATTCTGTATTTTTGTAGTCTTGTTGATAAGTTAATTACATATTGAGTATTATTAGTACTTTTTGGATTATCCATACTTATCAGAATTTTTATGCAGGAGACAGTAAAAGTAGTGAAGTTTATGATTCGTTATTTGTTGTATCATACTATTTCACTTTAGGTCTATAGTAAAGTTGGTTTATTTCTTTTCATTTTTATAATTTTAGGTGGGGTGTGCGATAACTTACCTCCACTTGGTGCACCCTGGGCAACGTATACTCATACGGTAAAAAAGTCCGCTAAACGACAGACGACTCCTGACTTCAAACTATCATTGCCGACTACATGTCATATTCGACCCCTTCCACAGTACTTACCTATTCTCTGCCTTTGTATCTGTTTGTCTCCTTTAAATCTGTGAATCATTATTCTGTCCTCCTCTCTTCTTTTGTCACTTTGCTATTTCACCTCCTCTCTATGAACCCCGAATTCAGCTAAATGGCCAATGATAACTATCGAAACGCCTACCATTTGAAATTAATAAATAAATATAAATTGTATTTTTAGGGCTGATTGAAAGTTTTTTTCAATGTCATTATGAATTGTGTATTTTGTTCAGATATGATTTTGTATCTCTTTATTTGTTCATGTAATTAATTCTTGATCTGTTTTACTATTTATTTTTACTTTTACTCTGTTTTTTACTTTAAGTTACTCCTTTACCACTATTTTATAATTAGGGCATTTGTATTATTTTATTTATATAGATAGTTGAATTTTTTTATACATTTTCGGAGTTGTGTAGTGACTATTTCTAATTAGTTAATTGGTACAATTGTAATGTAGTATAATTAAAATATTTGTTAAACACACAGTTGGGCTCAGATATAGTTTTTGTTAAATGAGGTAGTATAGTTTGCGTCTTAAGGTGGGTTGTTTACACCTCTTGGTTGTTTTGTACATATACTGAAAAGTTAGCTTTTCTGTTATAAATAGGTTAAGTTTAGATGTCAAGTATTATTTTTATTAATTTCATGCATTCAACGATTTATGTCACATAGTATATACGCTATAAGATTCTTTTTTAATTTTCGTTCCTATCGCCAGTGCTTTCTTTCTCGTTACTCTAAGAAGAGTGTCTTATATTGGGCGGTTTATTAGTTATTAATTAATCCCGTTTTAAAGCTTTAAGTGCTTGAGTATCAATTTCTTTTATAGGGAGTTTCTTTAGGGAGTTAATTTTCTTATGTATCTAGAATTTTTAGTTCAATAAAAATGTGGATGTGAAAAATAATGATGGCCCTTATTTACTTCTCTTCTTTTATTATTTAGTTCTGCCTTTTATGTCTGATGAGTTTGGTCTTAAAATGACGAGGAGGAATTGGAGAATTTAGTGAAGTGGAGGTAAAATTGGAGCTGAAATGGGCATGGATGGATTTGTGGGAAGTGGTGCAGTACATGCTATGAGAAGTGCTCACTTGAGGTACGTGAAGATGATTGAATTTAGGTTGGCAAATATTTTGTCCATCTGTTGCTGGTTAAGCACTTTTTTAATTTTTGTGAAATATAAGATTATTTCTATTGGTATGTATTTTTCAGCGGAGATGAGTATTTTTAGATTCAGTCATGTTACTATATTTGGTAGATTAATATTTCCTGACTCACGTTAGGAAGTATTTATTAAATAGCTATATGGGAAAATAGGCTTAAAAGGTTAGTAAAAATGATTTAGGGAATCATATTAAACATTTAACAGTTAAATGTGGGCTTAAATCCCAGGTGTACAAACAAAGAGCTCGGTTGAAAATGTGTCCTTGTTACCACTTTTGTACTGGTAAACTTACCAACTTTTGTAAAATGAGAAGTTTGGCCAATAGGGCTGCTTTAGCAGGTTAGTGGGACACGTTATCGCTTTGTGCGTCATCGCATGTTCGCATGTCTGCTCGCCAGGATTGGGAGGTGCGGCCGTACAACACTGTGTACAGCGACCGTACAAACAGTGACCAATCATTAACCTCTGTTTGTTTAAACCTAATCCGCCATGTTGATAAAGACAAAGATTCCGTCCTATGCTCATAACCGGCGTGTCACTTCCCGAATGAACGTATTCGTCAACATCCTCCTCTTTGTGATAGCTTAGCTAGTTTGGGAAGCCTAATCTGTCACAGAGATTACGGAGTATAATCTGGGCTTATCGGTGCAGCAATCCGCTACAGGTTACTTTGATTTAGTAAGTAGTAATATCTAAATTTAAGAGTTGGGTTCTTGCGATTTTTGATTGCAATTTTACACAGATTATTATTTTTGCGTGTTTATTCATAGTAATTTATTTTTACTGGAAGTTTATTTAAATGGAGAAGCGTATAAAGATTATCATGATCTAGGTCATATAAGTGTGGGTTTTGACCTAGTTCCCTAAGGTTTGAATGCTCAAGATTTACTTATTTTTCTTAACTAGTTTTTTGTGTTATAATTTTAAATATGCCTGAGCAAGGGTTGTTAAATATGAACTCTTTCATACATGTAAGATTTCTATTAGAGTTCTTAATGGGCCATGTTCGTTGAGCTTATAAAGTTGAAAAAATCTATAATACTAATGGCAATACTGGAATTTCTTGAAAGTTCGCTTCTGTGGTCATTTGGTTCCAAAATAGCTTCACGATATGGAATTTTTCCATTAAAACGGAAAGCCCATATAATTTTGTTAGTCTATATCTAACTTTCGTAAAACTAAATAAGAATAAATTAATTTAGACTGAATATTTTCATCATCTCATGATAATGAGCACGTCTAGCATATATCCTTGAATATTCATGTTAGATCATAAGTGTGTAGGCGTAGCTATTACATCATCAGGTAAACGAGCTGGTTTTAAAATCTTAAGATCTAGTTTAATGACTCGAACAACATTTTTCGATCCTTATCATAAATTTACTCTATTAGATTGTCATTATTTTATAGTTGCTAATCATGATATAATAATTATTTTCTTTTAAAAGATGGTTATTAAATTATCTTTCACTTCTATTGGGTAGTATATCCGATCTTGATTTAACACCTTTAAACGCTTGATTATTGATACCCTTAATAGTATTTTCGATTATGAGAAGGAGGTTGGGTGCTGGAGTTGAATAAACATTTCTCATATACCATATACCCATGCTATAATCGTCATTCATTCATCTTCAGTTTCATTAAGCAACAGAAGATGAACAAGAATTTGCAACGTGGAAGAGCATTCGAAAACAAAGAACAGTGAGACAGAATGGTATGGGTCGGGAGAAGTGAAGAGATGGAGAGTAGAAAGCGTCTCACCGAATGTGGTCATTGGATCAAGGTGTAGTCAAAGGATTCCTGCTTTAGAGCTCTCAATCACCAGATTGGAGGATTCGCCGCCCATCCTAGTGGCGTTCTTAGCCTCAGCTGCGCTGCCTGCACATAGGAAATTAGTGAATGGTCAGCCAGTCTCCAAGTGAGACAAGTGAGCAAATTCCACCAGGCGGCACCCACTTTCCCAATGGCACCCAACGATGGTTGAAACATCACGCATCAGAATGCCATCTTCAATGTTGATGTGGAGGCGTTCCGCGCCAATCTCCTTCCAAAAGATCAATCGGATATGCACTAGCACATGTATCCACTCCTCAGAATAGTCATCATTTCAGTCAAACCTCTATAATGTATGACATTCATCAGACCTTGCCAAAATCCTCAATCACTTCTATTTTCTAACTAACATGTATTCATGCAGTAAAATGAACACATTCTACCTATGAATGAGATAGTCAGATGGAGGAGTCATTATTCAAAAAATAATCATAATAATAATAATAAGACAACGACGACGACGAAGAAGAATAATAAAAGGAATATGATAACATTTTTGGCTATTTCAATTATTGGCGGCGATATCCTATTAGTACACGCACACGTTCGCGCTCGAATAAATTGTCCTAATTAATGATCAATACTTCCATGGATTTTTTCGCTGTAAACAAAAAAACTGCTGCAAATTTTCACTTTCGCTAAAATTTTGCAATGGGCAACTGTCTACCGACCACGCATCGTTTCTTCCCACTTACTCGACGTAGGCGGGTCAGAAAAGAAGAGACTACAAATAACACACGTGATGAAGAGATAGAGGAAGTGACTACGAATGAGAATCCAATGGAGGAGGAGGTAGAAGCGGAGATTGAGGGTAGGGAAGACACCGACACCGGTAGCGATAGCGAATGCTCCTCTAGCTTGAGGGAATTCCTTATGCTCGAAAGGCTGTGTGAAGAGTATGAAGACTTGGAAGAGATAAAGAGTAGAATAGAACAGGAAAACGCGAGTGAGAAGGCAAAACAGAAGGCTATGCAGAAGAAAGTAGAATATGAGATTGAGAGTAGAGAATATGAATATGAACACGAATATGAAGATATCGAGTGCTCATCTAGTTTAAGGGAATTTCTGATGCTTGAAAGACTCTGTGAGGAGTATGAAGAGGCGAAACAGAGGAGGAGAGAGAGAAGAGACCAAGAGAAGTTAGAGAGGCAATTTAGGAGGTTTCGAGGCGACCAGTTGAGCACAATAGAAGAAGAAGAAGAAGAAGAAGAAGANCAATGTTTTCTAGTCATCATTAGAGATATATATTCCTGCTATATCCTTGTGCTCCTCTAGCCCCTTCCCCTAACCAGCTTCACTCTCAAATAGCATACATTCTTCCTGCTGCCACAATCATTCCCATTCCTCCACCAATCTTCCACTCATAGGTAGCCTTTCGGTGGACTATACACTGATAGTATTAGGTTGGCAACTAAACCATTGCCGATTTCACATAAGAAGGCAAATTCGGAATTTTGTTTAAAAATATAACTTTATTCTATTAGATATTGGCCGTTCTTGTCGATGACCTTTTTCCATCGTTCCGTTGCGTCAAATGAATTTCCTTTAACTGGTGAGGGATCCATAAATCAAGTTTCTTGACATAACCAAGGGTTTTTAATTTTTTTTCAATGCATGTATGCGACACATTGAGCTTCTCTGCAATATCTCGTGTTGTGCTGTGACGATTTGAATCGATAATGGACTTGATATGGGTTTCATCCACTTCGACTGGGCGGCCAGATCGTTGTGAATTTTTCAGTGAAAAATCACCGGAACGAAATCTTTCAAACCAATTTCGACACTGCCTTTCTTTTAAGGCTTCGTCTCCATATACGGCACATAACTTCTTTTGTGCTTGCGATGCGTTCTTGCCTTTTCGGAAGTAATACAATAAAATGTGTCGGAAGTGCACGTCCTGTTCTTTCATTTTTAAATTGGGATAACAACAAAACTAAAGAACTAAACAAAAAATTTTTTACTAATTAACCTAGAAGCCCATACAGTAAGAAAAAAACATAGGTTAGATGCTCTGGCCACGTTAACAAAACAAAAGAAAGTATAGTGAATCTGTCAACAAAAACGGCAATGACTTAGTTGCCAACCCAATAGATAGTAAAAAACTGTGCTAATTACATTGTAGGCCATTATTAAAAAAACACAAAAAATATACCCAATTGTAATACGTATGGCTGTTTAAGCTCAAAAAATTTGTATAGCGGAATAAATAATTTTAACCAATAAACGTAAAGGTACATAGACATTAAGAGGAAATGACCAAAAAGAAGTAATAACTACAAAATACTAATACATAATTTATTTAGCGATTGTTATTGAAAATAAACTGAAAGAAAGCGAAAAGTCAAGCTTACAAAATAACCTACATTAAATGCACACAAAGGGTGACTTTAAATAACCCGCAATCATTTTTGCTTGATTATTGCTTTGATTGTACATTTATGTATAACATTATCAAAACTTGAATAATAGTTTACAATGACACTATATGGATAAAATTTGAAAAATTATTGACGCCTTATTTATCTAATGTAATAAATATTATCAGAGTTGCTAAACATCTCGCGAAGACATCTGCGATTGTAGATCGCCACCGTCTCTTGAATAATTTTACACGAAAATCTATTGAAATTACCCATTTTATTTCATTTGACAGCCTTCTATCCAACCTCCAGTTGTTATGGCGACACGAATAGTTTGTGGCATTCCCCTTAAATTGGCCCATATTTCACGTTCCATTATAGCCTTCACCGTTTCTCAACTTTTAAAATTAAAATAAATACTGGCAATGTTTCAATATATATGGCTTGAATTCATCATAAGACTGTTTTGCTTACATTGAATAAGTCTGATTCAAATCTTACTATAACGAATTGAATATATCATGATACTCTCCTATACATATAGGTATGAACTGCAGTGTCAAAAATATTTACTTTAAGTTTATTATATCAGAGGTTAAAATTTCGAAATATAGACGTGAATTCAATTTAATTTTTTTGTATTCTCACAGGAGCATCTTGTTCCAAATTATTAGCTCCTAATCAACATAGTCGAGTGGTGGTGAACTATTTCCCTCTCACACTTATCTAACTACACCTTACACTAAACTGAGAAATCTNCCTTATTTATCTAATGTAATAAATATTATCAGAGTTGCTAAACATCTCGCGAAGACATCTGCGATTGTAGATCGCCACCGTCTCTTGAATAATTTTACACGAAAATCTATTGAAATTACCCATTTTATTTCATTTGACAGCCTTCTATCCAACCTCCAGTTGTTATGGCGACACGAATAGTTTGTGGCATTCCCCTTAAATTGGCCCATATTTCACGTTCCATTATAGCCTTCACCGTTTCTCAACTTTTAAAATTAAAATAAATACTGGCAATGTTTCAATATATATGGCTTGAATTCATCATAAGACTGTTTTGCTTACATTGAATAAGTCTGATTCAAATCTTACTATAACGAATTGAATATATCATGATACTCTCCTATACATATAGGTATGAACTGCAGTGTCAAAAATATTTACTTTAAGTTTATTATATCAGAGGTTAAAATTTCGAAATATAGACGTGAATTCAATTTAATTTTTTTGTATTCTCACAGGAGCATCTTGTTCCAAATTATTAGCTCCTAATCAACATAGTCGAGTGGTGGTGAACTATTTCCCTCTCACACTTATCTAACTACACCTTACACTAAACTGAGAAATCTCAAACGGATTTCACCGATGGACCTAACGAAAACAATCAATTCCTAATACAAATTTTATTTCCTTTACTGCTACTTCAAATCATCATTAATACATTATTTTGCTATTATAACTATAGAGGAACGTAAGAGCAAATTTGACTAAAATAATAAACAAATTATTCTCCTTGTATTGCACTTGCTTACCGAATTAGCATTGACATTTATAGGAGCCTTCCAAGATCCTACTAAGGGACAATTCGCATTCTAAAAAGCCATCATAGATAAGTACTTGTTTCACAAATTGGCATCCGATAAATTGATGTTTTAGATGTAGGCGAGAAAATCCAGTTATCGAGAAAATTGAATGAAATCTAAGTCGAAGTTTAACAAAATTACCATTAATGCGAGGTGTAATGGAATATAGCTGGGAAATTAGGAGGAGGTAGTGAATTTAGAAGGCCAGAAGGACAAAACCAACAAATGCGCGACATTAAGTAACACACAAAAGCAGAAAATAATGTCTGAAGACAAAAAAGACACAGGGCATGACGAAAGACGAATGTGATTAGGGTGGGATCAAGGATTCGGAAGTGGCAAATTTTAAGTTCAATAAAGGCATTTTTCAGGAGGAAACTGTTGCATTTGCCACTTTAGCTGGTTCCTCAAGGCATGAATGCGACACATTGAGCTTCTCTGCAATATCTCGTGTTGTGCTGTGACGATTTGAATCGATAATGGCCTTGATATGGGTTTCATCCACTTCGACTGGGCGGCCAGATCGTTGTGAATTTTTCAGTGAAAAATCACCGGAACGAAATCTTTCAAACCAATTTCGACACTGCCTTTCGTTTAAGGCTTCATCTCCATATACGGAACATAACTTCTTTTGTGCTTGCGATGCGCACTTGCCTTTTCTGAAGTAATACAATAAAATGTGTCGGAAGTGCACGTCGTGTTCTTTCATTTTTAAATTGGGATAAAAAAATTAACCCAGAAGCCCATACATTAAAAAAAAATATAGGTTAGATGCTCTGGCCACGTTAACA